AGCACCCAAGACATGTAGCTTTTGCCCGATATATACAGGGCTACAAACTCAAGTTTAGAAAGAAGAAAAAGAAAGTTCGTACCTCTAATACTTTCAAAGTATTTTCTCGAGATTGCAGAGTCTCGTGCTGATAACGTGTTATAAAATAAAGACAGTAAAGTAAAGACAAGTATAGAGAGAAACTGATATATTATTCAAACTTCAAACTTATGTACATAATGAACTGAATTCTCCTCTATTTATAGAAGAAAGGAAGTTGCTGTGTAAGCTGCTACTGCAAGCTGCTGTGTAAGCTGATGTGTAAGCTGCTACTCTAAGTTGTTGTGCCATATATAGATAATCTTCTACCATGGGTAATATTTATCCATAACGGAGTACCGAAAGGATAAGCTTCTTCAGGAGGCTTATTTCCAATAAAGTACTAAATAGATAAACATATTTACGGCACAGTCTCATATGGATAAGCTTCTTCAGGAAGCTTATTTACAACAGAGTACTAAATGAACATCCATAATATAATATATTTATAACACTTTACAATATATGCATTTAAAGAATTGTTCAAAAATTGGCCGTATCTGAAACTATCAATTGCAGATTTGCTCCAAAATGTCTATCCTTTAATATCCAAAATGTATTTTAACATCCATTTTATACTTTCAAAAGAGATGAAAAAAGGTGAAGTAACAGGGAATCCAAAATTTTTAGTGAATGCTAAGTATCACATCCAAACAAAAGGAAAGAAACGTTTAAACAACCACTACCCTAAATCTGTAATAATGCTAAGCCGAGGGGTTCTACCTGTCACGGTTATGCAAGGATATAAGACATGCTTTACTAATCACCGAAGCAAAATACAAACTATACAATTAGGCCAAATAACCAAACCATATTACCGGTCACATATACTGGTAGTAAAACTACAAGATGAATGTTAAGTATAATAATTTCTATATTAGTCCAATCCAAATGGCATCTCACCACCATTTCATCCAATTATCACATCAAAAAGCGGAGAGTCAGACACCAAGGCACAAAGTTGAATCCTTTTTCTACCTTCCAAGTCTATTTTGCCAGTCAATTTCCAGCACTTTTGCAATTAGCAGCAGAAGCAACAGCGGCCAGCTGCAGTAAGCAGCAATATGGCGGATGGAATCGCCGCAATTTGTTTTTCCAATGACGATGGTTTCATGATCACCTTGTCCGCACCTCGACAATTACACTGCGACCTCATGATCAGCTTGTCCGCACCTCGACAATTACACTGCTACCTACTAACTCCTATTAGCCCAAGTACTAACTCTACCCACTAAGCCTTAGGAGGATGAGAAGAAATCACCCATGCTTTTGTCTCTGTTGGTATTAACCCTGCTCTCCTATGATTTTCACAAACTTCATAGATCGCTAAGTCACACACTTGCATCCGATGGAATTGCCACACATTATAACCATGAGACAGGAGATCCTTGCGCATGTACATTGCAGAACTAGACGGATAAAACTCATGCACCATTCCGTCACTGACAACGAAAAATTTTCACTTCCCAGAATTCCATTGCACTGCTACCAACTAGTAGAGCTCTACTAACCCTTCCTGCTAATACCAATGTCAATGGAAACGGCTGCCCGTGACAACAATCGCTGCCAGTTCAACTTCATATAACCGTACAAAGTATATATGAGCATATTTGTTACATACATCACTATACAGAAGATGAAAGCCACAGCAAAGACAAACCCCATGTGCTCCGGAGAAAGGTATCCATTCCACTTGGCAAAAGAAATTACAAGATTCATTCGACCACAGCTTAGAAGGAGGGTTCACAGAAGTATGTTGTAGCAGCCTTCAACTTGCCGTTTAAGAAGATATTCATCATTCCACTTGGCAAAAGAGATTATCAGATTCATCCGACCACAGCTTTCAGGAGGGTTTACAAAAGTATGCTGTAACAGCTTTCAACTTGCCATTTAAGTAATTCTTCTCCACCTAAGGTCACATGCATTCCCAGAATTAAAATATAGCGTGTCAATAAACTAAGTCAATTAAGAAACCAAACTACAAAGAACTCCCATACGTCCCCCCAGCCGCTGACAGAAGAAAAAAACAGAAGGAGAAAGGAATACTAGGGAGGATAAGTACAGCTGATACAGTGAATCACTTATTTCAAGTAAGCCAAACAAAGAAATTGGTGGTTAGTCAATCAGTGAAGTCCATTCTCTTCACAACTTTACCACAAATTGTTGAATGGAAACATTTCTAGATAGAGAAAAGTGGAACACAATAAATCTGTAAACATTGACATAAGGCTGGCAAGTGGGCCGGTCCAGGCCCGAGACCGCTGGCCAAACGGGCCAGGACCGGTTTTAGTGGGCCTGGGCCGGTCTCGTGGGCCGGTCCTATGCTTTGGGCCCGCCGGGACCGAGACCATTTAGCCTGTCAGGAACCGGGACCGGACCGGTCCCTTAGCGGGCCAAACGGTCCCAACGGTCAACTTATAAAAAAAAAAATTAAATTTAAAAAATAGCCGTTGGGCTGTCAAAAATAGCCGTTGGCTATTTATAAAATAGCCATTTAACCTCCCCAACTTTGTTTTAACCCCAAACTTTCTATAATTACACTTTTTTCCTATTTTCAACTATAAATACCCCCTCATTCTTTCATTTTTTCCTTACAAAATCATCAATCTATCACAATCTCTCTCTAATTTTCTTCTATAATTGCTAGTATTGCTTACTTTATTGTTATAATTTGTGAAAAAATTGTAAAGTTGGTGAATTGAAGTCTTCAACGATAATCAATTTTCAACAAGTTGTTCGTCAATTCGGTAAACTCGTTCCAACTCTTAAGTTTTAATATTATAGTTTTGTTTGTTTTACTTATTTTCTATTACTTTATTAATTAAGATGGCTTCCTTAAAAAAACCTTTTGGTAAAAATATGAGAAAATCCAAAACTGACGAATCTAGTGCTCAATCTGTTCCTCCTCCACTGCCCCGGGCTCCCCGAACCAAACCCCATATCCGTCCTACACTTGCTATTCTTGATAGCGGTAATAGTTTATTACAATTTACCGAAAGTCAATTTTCCCATAATATTAGAGCTGGTGAACAATTAGACCATGAATTAATGAATCCTCTTTATTCTAATCCAACTATTGATGAAAATGATGACGAAGAAATAGATTTTGATGAGACTCAACCGGATGATGATACACCAACTACTTTTCCGCCACCACCGATGGAAATTCCTCCGGACCTTGATGGATTTATGAAGTTTGTAAGATATACCATATAACTTGTATGAACAAAAATTATTATGTAACTTGTATTTTGGCACATCTTGATTAGTTTCTTTTTCTTATCAATGGTGGTATTAGCACCTTGTTTCTTTTTCTTCTCAATGGTGGTATTAGCACCTTGTTGTGCTCATTCCATAGGGGTGATGAAGACTAAGAAAGATATTGCCATGTTTTTTAATGCTATAATAAAATTACAAGGCATTGCTTTGAATATCTCTTTACAATATTTTTGTCGTTAGACTTTAAATTTGAATTAAAAAATATTTAAAAATTTAGGTCACAATTCTATAATAAAATTTACAAGGCATTGCCTTAGATATTATTTTTAACATCCTTTTTGTCTCTAATTTCTATTTAATTTTTTAAAAAAAATCCATTGGGCCCACTTAGCCCGCGGGCCGGGACCGTTTAGCCCGGGACCAAACGGTCCCTACAAAAAGACCACTTAGCTCGGGACCGTTTGGCCCGTTTAATTTGGGACCGGCCCGGCCCACTTGGCACCCTTACATTGACATGAGTGAGGGTACTTCCTACAGAAAAGAATCGAATTAGCAAAAGCTAGGCATACCAGTTCCAGTTACTTATACACACACACACACATATAAACCCCATAAACTTATCCACGTAACATAGGAAAGCTTATTTAGTGTAAACAAAGTCTATCACTAGGTTGCTCAAAAAAGAAAAAAAAAAAAGGGGGGGGGGGGGGGGGGGGGGGGTTTCTGTGTGTGTGTGTGTGTTTTAATGGAAGGTGATTGCAGAGAAAGATAACACCATTAGTGCATGACCCTCATTAAGAATATCTGCAAAAAAACAGGAGAATGCTGGATGAATACCTCTAATAACCACGGTGGATTTACGGATAATGACAATTCTGCCAACTGATTGATATCAACATTTCTTGGAAGGAACATAACAACTTTGGAGGCAATTCCCCTGCCAATGCTGAAGAGAAAATTCCTGATAATAATACACAAAAGATGCATAATTTCAGAAGTACCGCTTAAGATAGATAACTGAGGATGCAAAGTCTCAAGGCATATCTAAATGGCATACCCATCATGCGGCCTAAGCATGGTTTTCATGTCAAATGTTCTTTCCTTCAAATAGTCCGGTCCCCCCCAAGGTGGTGACATGAAGACTACATCTGCCTGAAGTAAAGCAAAGACCGTTGTAAATCTTGAAACTACGTAGAGGAGAAAAGAAGAGAGAAATAAGACAAACACTTGAACAAGATTTGACAATCAAACATAGAAAATAACAAGAGAGCCATCAAAGCTGAATTACACTACAACACACAAAAAAATGTACAAACTAAATCTAACAGCACGGATTCGAGAAGAAAAAAAACGCCAGAGCTGAATTATGTCACAGGAAGAAAATAGTAGCATGAAGTGACAGACCACTCGAATTTCAAAGGCTAAGCAAAGAATTTTCTCACACTTCTCTTTCAAGGACCCACCCAAGCATCAGTAAGAAGAGTAATGGAGAACAGAAAAACTTGTTACCTTCAACTTTGGAGCCAAAACAAGAGAGTCGCCTCTAATGAAGTCTATTTGGTCACAGACTCCATAAATGGCAGCATTATACTGAGCAAAGTCAATTTTCTTTGGATCAATATCGATTGCAATGACATGTTTACTCCTGAAAATAGGTATCCACAAAATTAAGAATTGCTTGTATTTAAGTGTGTTGTCAGTGAAAGAAAGCATTCACATTCTTAGTCATGCTAGAATAGATAAGCAAAGCATTAAGCAAAGTGCTGCATAAATACTTTCCATAGATATATTTTTCTTTGCTGCATAAATACTTTCTATAGATAAATATTGTTTACTGATAAATAAAAACATTTTATATAGATATAGACCAAAAAGGATTCAGTTACTTCGACATGGAAATGTCCAATTGATAAAACTGAATTTTTACAAACAAATAAAGATGCATTTATCAGCTGGATTTTTCAAAGATTGACAAAGCCATCAAGAGGATATGGACAATGATCCCAGCAGCAATTTTTTGGTGTTTATGGAATGAAAGGAATGGCAGATGTTTTCACGGAATCTCAACTCCAACAAACTCTTTAAAAGCTATTTGTTTAGTTAGCTTAATTAGTTGGATATTTCACACTCCTGTTAATAGTGTGGATAATTTTTTGGACTTTGTTAGCTTCCTGATCTTAGCTTAGACATTGTAAAGGAGCTAACTTAGTGTCTTCTTTTGTCATCTTTTGTAAATCTGCATCTTCTTGATGTCTTATTAATGCAATTTCCTCCTTCATTAAAAAGTCTTAAAAGATAGTATACAAGTAACAAAGGAAGAAAATCTACCAGAAATAACGTTATCCTTTAAAGTAACAGTAGGAAAACTCGAAGCATAAGCTCCAATATGAGGCCCAATAATCTTTGAGAGTTGCAATTGCAATGGGATTGATATCTAATAGTTACATTCACAAGAACCTAAGGAACCTAATACAACAGATACCAAAAGCAGAAAGTGCAATGCAGCCGTACGAACCTCTTAGCAAACTGAATTGAATTTCCACCAACTCCAGTAAAGAGATCGACTATAGTACCAGAACCACAGCGAAGTGCATGATGCTTGGCTATGGCCTCCGGCGTAACTGAGAACCATCCTTCTTCGTCCATCTGTATTCCTTCATCATATTTGTTAAATAGTAGATACCTTTGGCACCAATATTTGCTCAAACTGGGAGATAGTTCTTCATTAATATCGCAGAATTGCAGCTCTATGGACCAGGAAGAGAAAAAGAAAAGAAAAGAATATACATTAAGCAAGGTAACTGGACCTTCATACATAGCTAGCGCCACTAATAGCTTTGACACATAAGGAGGTTAGAGACGAAAATATTCGTAGAAACAGAGACGGAGGTGAGCCGCAGTATCCAATGCCGAAGTAGTTTACTCAATAAAGTGAGCAATGCCAAAAGACTCTCTTGTTCAAGTTTACCAAACCAAAGTAATTTGAACTCTAGCTACAAGCATAGCCATAGAAGAAAGAGATTCTGAACTTTGGCTACAAACTACTGAACTGTCAGCAGCAAATTTCAGGTACAGAAATTTTGAAGAGAAGTATATGCTACTTATCAAATTTCACATTCGTTGAGTTGAACCTGGCAAAACATAGCATTCTAGTTGAGAACACTGTTGGAAAGAAACACTTAAATCAGAGAAAACCATAGATAAAGTCCCAGTGGCTTTTAGAAGGTTCTCAACTGCACTCAGGCACAGTGTATCGCAAACAGGATTACTGTTCACCATGACCCATGGGCCATGGCACATAACTAACAAACCACGCTTACCAATAATTTATACTCCCTCCGTTTCAATTTGTTTGAACCTTTTTGGAGTACGAGGGTCAAATTGACTAATTTTTTGTGTAAATTAGGACATAGATTCTTTAAGTTTTTTGAAATAAAATTTATATATTTAGAAACTTCATAAAAAGTACTATAAGTCACAATAGTTAACAATTCAAAATATTTAAAAATCATTTGCTAAAAACATGGTCAAACAAAAGCTTCTTTGACTCCCCAAATAGTAAAAGGTTCATTCTTTTTGAAACGGATGGAGTATTCAATTACCCACTCATCATGCAGAGAACCAACACAGTTAATGTGATAAACATTAAAGCATATAAATGCAAGGAAAGATTTAAGCGTAGTTCAAGGTCACAAACCTTGACTTTCTATTGATAACTTCCCTTTGAATTTTGTCTTCCTAACTCTCTTTTTCTGTTTGGTAGAGCTTAAACTACAAAAATTGTCAGCAAATTGCCCTGTCGCCTCTGAGTCATTGAGTTGTCTGTCCAACAATACCTCATCATCTCTAAATCTGTCTGCAATGTCAAGGTCAGATTTTATACTTGCAGAAGTTTGCAGATTATTAGATTCTTTTAAATCTGCATCCTCCAACACCACCGTTTCAAGTGCTATCTCTGGTTGCTTGGTAGTAAAATTAGTAAATACTAGGTCGTCCATTCCTGGAGGTGGATCCCATGTACATTGCATGGTCATCACATTATAAAAGTAGTTTCTTTGGTAATCATTGTCCCAATACAACCTCCAATCATTAATCGTCTCTTCACAATTGTTACTAGTTGTATTACAATTATGTATCTCTTCACCAACATCACTGCAGAATTGCCCATCTTCTGTGTGATGCTCAGTCATTTGCATAGCAATAGATTCTACTTGCTCTCCATTTAAAGGATTTCCAATACAGCCATACTCCATCTGCTCCCCATTTAAAGGATTTCTCTCACAATGACCATTTAATCCCTCTCCACTGATCCATCCACTATCAACACTGCTATCGATTGGACAGCTTTCTGCTTTATTACCGCATTCCAAACTTGAGCCAACCATTACTACTACATCTTTTTCCAATTGAACTTTTTCACACGTAGAGACAGTATCCTTTGCATTATCCAGACTTAGATCCGATTGCCGATTGCAAACAGCGCATTCAAGGGACATGTGAGCACAACCAGCGCTCAATTTGTTCAAACTTTCTTCTCCACCATTAAGACAACTGACTAAACCATCCTCGGTATAGCAGGATGAGAATTCACATTGTCCAAGAATTGACATGGAGGAAGAAACCTTGTTTGAGTTGCCTTGCAGAGTACCATTAGACTCACATTCTTCCTTCTGCTCTTGTATTGAATTTAGCACTTCATCCTGAGTATTCTCACAGGACCAAAGACTCATCTTCTTTCCATTCTTTATTTTTCCCAGAACTGCTCGATTTCTCTTCTGGAAGAAGAGATGGAGAGACATACAAAAAGACATACAGGGAAGAAGTTATACCCCTTGAACGAGTACAAGATGCCAACATAATCTAGAAGATCAAATTTCTACAGGAATCTAGGACTTAATTAAACCGTTAAAACATATTATTCAATTATTTAATGAATACCTAAACAGAAACATGAAATGAAACAATGATTTCACTCACCATACCATGAGTGAATATCCTTAACAAATAGTGCTTGAATTCTTAACCTAGTTATCATCTAAGAACCTGATTCATGCATTATTTTCACTGCAGATTGAAACCTATAAAAAGAGTAGACTCTCATTTCTCCATTAAACAATATCATCGTAAAGCAGTTTCACTATCAGAAAAAACTGGAATGCTACTCAAATATAGAATCTTTAACTATCCTATGTTTATCAGAAGACAAAGAAACAGATATTATGCAGAGACTGGATATGAGTAAAGGTTTTTTTTCTGATGAAAGCATCAATTATTAAAAAATAAGTATTGTCTAGTGCGACAGAATTGTTTACAGGAATTATGGAAATGATGTAGAGGTCTACTACCTGGAGCTTATATAAAAAGCAAACATGTGAAAATCAAACAAGTTAAAATAGAAAAGGAGTATGATACCTCCTTGTTAGTGTGGAATGTCATGGGGAGTCCCATTTCATTCATTTGTCTGATAAGCTCCAAGTCTTCCGGTAAAGACCCAAACTCTGCCAAGATAAAACAGAACAACTGTCTACTCTTAATTTTCCAATATCACTTGAAAATCCTTAATAACCAAAAAATCAAATGTAACAAGTAATCAGGCAATTAACTAATGAAACGAGGGAACCCAAAAAAACACTTACCATCTAATGGAGATGAATTATTTTTGTAGAAAACGGAATTCTGAACTGGTTTCTGCACAAAAATCAAAAAGCAATAAATAAATACATAAAGGGTATACTGAGATGCATAATCTGTAACGAAATGTTTAGTCCTGCTTTGTTACTTATTTGCCTGGCAGAAATGCTCTATCTGCAGGCATGTACCATCATACTCAGGCTTCCAAACATACACCACCTCTTGTTCAAAACACCTTCTTGGATTTTTATAGTCTTTTTTTTTTAATGATTTCCCTCCCCTTTGATTCCCCATTTGTTGGAGCTATTGCTCCTTTGGTGACTCGAACCCACAACCCTTGTCAGATTTTTATAGTCTCAGGTAATGGTTCAGTAACATCCATTTCCACCAATATACAAGCATAGGAAATACGATCAATTTTAGAGGTACAATCATCTGCATATAATGGAATTCTCAGCCCGCTGCATATCCTATTCAATGAATCCACACTCCAACAGTTCAAGGATAGATTAGGAAGCTTTACCCAGAGTGGAATAAGTTTTCAGTATCTCATCATTGAAGTTGAATTCCGGGGACCAAACTTTAGTAATAACTGGCTTGTTGCTTATATTGTGAGGCCCAAAATACAGCACCGCATCCCTATCCTCCATGCTATTAAACCGGATAGAAAAGTAGCAATCATCGTGATATAACACCTTTGGCTTCAAGATGAAATTCCATTGTGTGGCAATGAATCGCTTCAGTGAACGAACAGTTGGTGTATCCCCAACCACATAAAGGATAACTGCTTGCTTCCATTTCTCAGCCTCCTTCTCCACTTCACTTTGTGATAATTCAACAATTTACTCGCCATTCCGAATTGTAGGGGCTACATAATGCAACTTCATTCCTCTCGATGCTAATCTGTTTCCCTGAATTAAATTTGCCCACGTCTGAGTTCCATTATAAGTTTCATTCCTCTGGGCACTTACTGGCTGCTGCGTAAGCTGGTTTTCAACAACCCTAATTTCGAGATTTGTCTTTGCATTGTTAGAATCTAGCTTAATAAATCCTGAAATCGGCCTTCCTTCAGCTGTATTAGCAACACGTGGTGGAGTATTAAGCTCGTTTCTCCGATTTGGTATGGGAGCTTCATTGGTGTTCCTCCTCGGCGCGCATGTTAGAAAGGGCAAACTATCGTGCGCCTAAAGAGAGATAGTTCGGTACTTCTCAATATTTGTTTCGATATTAACGCGGGATTTTACTTTTCTTTATGCACATAGCCAGTAGAAAAATTAAAAAAACTTACCGCAGATTCCAGACAAATCTGCGCTTCTTGCATTTGCCATGACGAATAATCTCTGTAAAAATCAAACAAATCACTTGCCCTAACAGCTAATTATAGAAACTCAAAATAAAAAAGAGGGGGAAAAGAGTGCTCACGAAAGATAAACTTCGGTAAGTTTGAAGAGAGAGCCGAGAGCTGCAATTGCTAAACCTTCTTCTGCCTCTTCTTCTTTAAGCGTGACGCTTTCCATTTGTTTCTGATAAAAAATCTCTACTTACTGTGCAAGTCAGTTTAGTCAATTGAAAGATACTGAGGAAAGCTTATAGTATTACTTTGCTGTGTGTGTGTATATATATATATATACATAAACGGGCACCGTAAATGACCGAAAGAAGATCAATGGGTTCGGGTCTTTTTTGAGTTGAAACATTGCTATTTTTCAGGGAAAGCTTCAACGTAAGACTATCTTCAAGGCGAAACGTTGAATTTGCAGGAAAACAACTTGACCCATTTGGACAAAAAGGATTTTTCGAAAATAAAAATTGAAATTCTTTTTCTTTTTGAACGTTGAATATGTGTTTTGCTAGTCAATTGAAATTTTTGCTAAATAATTTTCCAAAATTTTCAAAGAAACCCAATTGATCTTAAAAATAACTTCACGTTTAACCAACAAATAGAATTACACAAACAAACTTAGAAAAATTTTGAGCTATTATCACTTATATTCGGTAAAAACTAATGACAATCAATAGCCACAAAATAAAATCATACAATTAATAGCCCAAAACCAATTGAAAGGGCTAGCAACTAAAACAAAAAAAAAACGAGCGGCCGCCAAATCTTTTTGTAATTTGAACTCCCTTTTGCATTTGGGAGCCTTAGTTTTTGATTCAATTCCTTTTACGTCCATAAAAAAGTTCCTTTTAGGTTTTAGAATTTTTTGTTTGTTTGTTATGACACACGAAAAAATCATTATTATTTTTTTTATTTCAAACACTTTCACCTCCTTTTTATGTTTAGGGTTTTATTTTTATTTTTTGGATAAATTTTGAGCATTTTCACCTCTGCAACCACCAAATTTCTTCCTATTACATATAAATTATAATCTTTTTTATATTTTATTAAGAAACTTAAATTTTTATTGATCTAATCTAAAACAATATGATATTGCATAAACAAAAATACTCATGATATAAGGAAAAAAAAGAAGGTGATGTATATATTGTACACACAATGTACACATTTAAACTAGTATAAAGTATATATACACTCTTTATACATCGTAGAATAATATATACACTTCTTATGCATTGTAGAATTATATATACACTTTTTATATATCTTAGAACAATATATATACATTTTTTTTATAAGAAATATATATACTTTGGATACACTAAAATGCTTAGGATACACTAAAGATATATTAGGATTTAGGGGTACACTGAAAAATATAGGATACACTTTATATACAATATTTATACAATGTAATAGTGTGTATACAATTCCATCTCTTTTTTTTCTCACCAAAGAAATTCTCGTAGTTAAAATTGTATAATCAGTGTATACTATATAAAAACTCAAAGTGTATATAGATACATAGATATTACATAAAAGATACACTAAATATACATTTATTGTACATGAGATACATTAATTATACATCACATATTCAAAAACCAGGCAGCAACAATCACCTCCACAAATACACTTCACATTTTACTTCTTCCTAGGAATTGCATATAAATTCATCCAAAAGAATCATGAAGCCCAACCTCCAAAACGGCTCGCAAAACACTAACAACCCACCAGCAATATTTATATTGTATAAACAGTGTATATAAATTGTATAATAGTACATATACACTTGTTATACAACATATATACATTAGTAAGGTCGCTGTAAAAAAATCGGAGCCGAAAGGAAAGCGAAAGGGAAGGTCACCAGAGTCTTTATCTGATCGCATCCATGGTCGATAGATATCACTAGCCAAGTATTTGCTATAATTCCTTAAAGATCCGGAAGATAATAAAATTATCATCGGTTAGAGGTAGTGGTGGAGATGTTTTAGGCACAAAAAAATTATTTCTCTAAATTTCCTATTCGAAAGGGATGGTTGTTGGTTGATTTGATTTTGGGGTTGAGATTTGAGTGTGTTTTGAGAGGGAAATAAAGATTTACTTATGGAAATATGGTGAATCGGTGGTAGTGAGATCAATGGTGGAGGTAAGCTAGAGTGGTGGTGTGAGGAAGGCAGTGAAGATAAGCTGGATTGGTGGTGATTATATCGATGATGGAAGTGGGAGGAGAATAACAAACAACTGGAGGAGTAGGAAATAAGAATGAATTGGAAAGAGAAGTGCACTGGGAATTGTGGCTACAACTTACAAAAGAATTGGGCCTAAAGGCTATTTCGGGTCAAAGATGAAAACATGGGCTATTAAAATGTTTGGACGGCCATACAATGTCTTTTACTCACAAATTTTCTTATGTAACTTTAGATAACTGTTACCCAACTATTTGTGGTAGGGGTGGCAATTTGAGCCCAAATCCATTTGATCTGCCTAACTCGTTCAAGGTTGGGCTGGTCTTTGACCCACCAATTTGTTGAATTCAGCTCATCTTTACCCAACTCATTTAAAACTGGGCTAATTTTTAGCCCAAATTGATATATGAGTAATTTTGCTAAAATATTTTTAACATATATTTTTTTGTTTGATATGTTATATATGACCGTAACAAAAGAAAAAAAAATTCTTATTTGACAATTAAATAATTCATAAGGAAATAACACACATTAATTATAGTTTGATAAGAGTTGGGCGAATTGGGCTATGACCCAAATTTTAGCTCATCTTGACCCAGACCATCTCAGCCCAATTTGGGCGGGTCATTGACCCGCTCATTTATTGACTCGATCCGTTTTGACCCACCCAAATTCAACTCAGTTATAGCAGTGTTCAACTAATTTCAGTTAGTCACAAAATCTTATTTATTTTGTAAATAATTCCTACCCCTATATATAGTAGTGTTTCTTTCTTTTAACGTATACATAAAAATTGGTGTAATTGAGAATGAAAAGAGTGCCGTGAGGAGGAAATGAGTTTAGAAAAGACTGCCGTGAGGAGCTAAATGAGTTTTAACTTTTAAGTATCCCAACATGTTCCCTACAAAAAAAAAAAAAAGATAGAGTTTTTACTTGTTGTATGAAAGAGTTCTTGTAGTGAAAGTTTGGATGCAATAATTAGTCTGATTTAGTTGAGCCAACAATATTGTCCGTCTGAAGAAGACAAAACAATTTGGAATATTAGTGCATGACATACATCCATGTACAATAACAACAAGAGTAGATCCAGTGTAATTCCACAAGAGGATTTGGCATGACATGATAATTAGGTCCAATAATTGGCATAAAAAAGCCAACGTTTTAGAATTTGGCATATAATAGCCTAAAGTTATTCTCTCTCTTCTAATGGTTCAACCACCATCCTAAAAATAAGTCCCATTAAAATTATTTTCCTTAAAAATAGCAAAAACTATTTAAAACCCTCACTCTCTCTTCTCTCACGGCAACCATAGTCCTAGAAATTAGGTTCCATTTCGTTCATTAGTATCCGAAAAAACTCTCAAATATTTTTTAATTATTTTTCTAGTTTTTTCTATCTGTATATCCTAATATATATAACATAATAATAATTATATTATTTGTATATCACAGTGTATAACATAATATTAATGTGTATATCAAAAAAGTATATTTAAATTTATTTTCTTTCTTTGTATAACACATTTCAGATTGAAAACTCAAGTTTAAGACAGCTCCACATGTGTATCCCCTATTGTGTCCTGTGTATATCTCTATGTACATTAGTGATATCTCTTATATATCATGTGTATCTGTGTATATCCATGAATATTTATGTTATATATACGATATTCAATGTGATATACACGGGCGTCCATAAAATAATTATGTTGTATACACAATATATAAAGTGATATACACAGACGTCCTTAAAAAATCGTGTGTGATATACACTGACGTACACGATATACAATGTGATATACTCATGTCGCAGTTGGATTTTTAGATTTGATTTTTAACCTGAAACCAATCTAAATCACCTCTAATATTGCTCAAATTTTGTATATAGCCTCGTTTAAGTATTTTCAACCAATTTCAATCACACCCACTCGTTCAATTCAACAAAAAAAAAAAGAGAGAAGAAAAACAAAGTTGAAATGTATTTTTTTCTCTCTTAGTTTTTGCTTCTAGTTTTCTCTGATGTGAGATCAACATTACCTTTTCATCTCACTGATTTTCTTACATAATTTGCAAGATTTTTTGCTAAACTATGAGAGCGAAAGAGAAGAGNGGGGGAGGGGAGGAAAGCAGACGGTTTGGGGCCAATTATTTGAGAGAGAATATATAAGAGAATAGTTTTTTTAGGATTTGGCTATATAATGCCAATTGTTTGGTGCTGTTTTTGCTAAACCTAATACAAGGCTAAACAATTGCCAATTCCTGTTATGTATTGTCACCCGGTGCCATTTTATCATTTCATAAGTGGGGTATGTGGAGAGTAGTATGTACGCAGACCTTATCCCTACCTTCAAGAAGGCAGAAAGACTATTTCCGAAAGACCCTCGGGTTAGGAAAGATAAAATGAAGGGCAGTAGCAATCACACCAATTATAAAACCGAAGCAAAAATACAAAGATACAAAACTAAAACTAAGTATTGTAATCACAACAAACATCCATATAAAAGTTATATAAATTTTAGGTATTCTTATCTGTAAGATTTTTCATTATTTACTCTTAAAATTGATCGCGTCTCCTTACTAAGATGCATAAACGACATTTAAGCAAAGTTGAAAATGACATGTCCAAATTTCATAATAATAATAATAATAATAATAATAATAATAATAATAATAATAATAATAATAACAACAACAGTAGGAGTAGCTAATAATAATTAAGGTGTAATATTTGTTTATGGTGCTTTTGGACGTTCGACAACAAATTGTCCTAAGATGCTAATGAATTAGCACTTGAATTAACTCTCATTCCAAAGTTATATCCAAACTATTTGCAACTTGCCATTTGTAGGTGGTGCTATGTCGTTATCCAATTTCTTTCACTCCTATAAATCTGAAGACTACTAGTC